CACCAAATGTACTGGAGCACAAAAAAAGGGGGGGGGGGGGGGGGGGGGTGGCATTGAGTGTATAGCATTGCGAACATCTATTAAAAATAAATAACTACTGTTATGGCCAGACCCTATCTTCTGCACATGAACAAAAACAAATGCCATTCAACTCCATGGACAGACTGCCTATCTGGATAGTTTATAGTCAACCTCCCCATATAAATGAAAGGCATTGCACAGAAAAGGGCCACTGTGCGACTCCTGTGAATCTGGCAGGAGCATGGCTTGTGGTAGGGGTGGGGTGTTTAAATGAAGGGATAACTATATGAAAGTATAGTTGCCCCATAAATCCCATGACACCTGTGTGATAAGACACCTGGGGGATCACTGCATATGCGCATGTTATTTATTGCCAGTCAAATCTTTTCAGTGGGGAAGCAAGCAAAATAAATGTGCACCCTGTTATTGCAGATGGTGTTCATTCTGCCACAAAAAAATGTAAAGGACGCATTTCTTAAACTGTATGTCTGAGCAAAGTGAATAAAAAGAATATGTGCAGCATACATTTTCGTGTAGTAAGGACTAATTCACACTAGCTGCCTAGTATGAGGTGTTTTATCCTGCAGCAAGAGTCCACTAGGTGACGGTGGCAAGTTGTGGTTTTAGTTTTTACAATGCAAGCAACGGTTCACTTATTACACACTCCATGCATGTCGTCGCCTAGCAGTGTTTTACATTGAACTGTGGTATGGTGACTTCTGGTGGCATCCAGTGTGCTGCAGGAAAATGCGGTATATCTGCATTTTTCTGTAGCCCACTGCACATCACGCCCACATTGTGGTCTATTGTTGTTTGTGTGCCCTTACGGTGACTGGCGTTGGTTCACTCACAGGAGTGAGGGGAAAAAAAGCTAGTCACCGCATAGTGTGAACGGGCCCTGAGTGTTTTCAGCTCTGCCCAGAGTTCTCTTGCCAAATTACTCAGTCCCACCTCAGTCTCCCATCATGACAAAATTCAGTCCATTCTGTAGACCCACGATAAAAACTAGGAGGGCTATATAATCTCTATCAGGCAACACAGGAGAAGAGCAGTGGACGCAGGACAGCTCTGGATTTTTGACATGATCAGCAGGTATTTTTTTTCAACTTTACACCACTGAAAGCATTTTCTGATATTAAACAGACCAAGAGGGAGCAAATAAGAGAAGTTCATTGTCAGAGTTTGCATACACTTTAGACATGTATGTGTATTTAAGCATTCCACTCATTACATCCTTTTTGCTCCTTTTGTCTGGAAAATGTTCAGCAGACATAAGGAAGATAAATCATCCCTTCTTCATGCCCATTTGTATGAGGATGTTAATTCTATCACTGAGTTTAATGGGTTTACTAGCAAACAAACTAGAGATGGCCAAATCTGATGCCTATTTTTTGAGAAGAGCCGAAGGCACAAACCCTTAACAGAACAGGCACCGTGAAGTGAAGTTTTATTTCCACCCCCAACTCATCCACTTGAACTATGGAACATACTGTGTATGCTTCATTAGTGGCTATGTGTGTCTTTGTCCCTAATGGTTTTAAAAATGAGGCGATGCTCTTTTTTTTTTTTTTTACAACGCACCGGAAATGCATTGGTGTGATGGTTTCTACAGACTGTCCAGTCTGTAAATAATAAAAAGGGCAATTAAATCAGCAAGTCGTATCACTTGCAACTCCAGAGTCTGACTAGAGACGTTCTCATAGCAGATGTAGAAATGTATTGCAATAGTGGTGGGATCATGAATCAATTAATTTGGTGATCCAACGTTCACCCATTTTTTAAAATGTATGAGACCAGCTATCATTTTTGTATTTTCTTTTCCATAATACGGAATTTATAACTAACCTTGTTACTGTCAGCTTATTTTCTTTCACATTCATGGTAGCGATAGGTTTCTCTGGATCAGTACTGGCTCGCACATCATAGACTCTTACTTCTGGATCCGTCATAAACTGGCCTGGATGAATGAAGACAAATGAGATGTATTTATGTATCTATGTTCTATTCCCTTTGGAGGCATTTATATACTGCAAATGTAAAGCAATATTGTTTTTCTATGACTTTTACAGCTCCAGTATTATATAACCCAAGCCAATGTCAAAGACCCTTGTTGATTATGGCTGTCCACAGGAAAGTTTTACTAACTATTATCAGAGAAAATATGGGGTTGTCATTGCCTCCCTTTCCTTCTGAAAATGCTAGTTGCCTGGCTGACAATACTTTATAAAGCAGTCACTGGGAACAAGCATACATATTAGGCACTCTGATTTTCTATTATGCATGCTTCTTTCATGTTAGTAGCACCAAGCAAGACAGAGGCAGCCATGTAGCCAGTATTTTTGAAGCAATGGCAGTTACTTTAAATCTGTGAGTGCAGGTTTCCATCAATGCTGCTTTTCCTTTATCTTATTTCTAGCAATCACATCTAGTATTAAAGAAACTAGAGGTCTTTGGCTGTGTTAGAATAAGCATATACTGTATCTTTATATGTATATGTATAGAGATTTATAAGAATGATATACTGTTAATGGCCATCTCTATCAGGAAGCAATAACAATGCTCTCGTTTAGGTCGGTGTCAACATGTACCACAACGCACAGGAAACGGCACCTGACTTTTTTTGAAACGCACTGCAGTTCCGTCATGTGCTGTAGCACAAAAGCAGATTGTTTTAGTGCTTTGGGGTGCTATTCAAAATGAAACGTGTATGGGCTAGTTCACACCAGATGCAGTAATGATGCAATCCGTTCCGTTTTGCAACTGCATCAAAAACGCATCACAATGCTTTCCTATGGTATTTCTTGTGCTCTGTTCACACCAGTCCGGTCTGTACCGATGCAGCTAGAAAAAATACTGCTTGCCCTATTTTAGCTGCGTCGGATTGTGACGGGATGCATGCAAACGCATTGGAACACACCTGAAATCCAATTTTAAGGAAAAACGCACTACATCGCAGCTGTGCGGACACATGCGGTTCTGATGCAGTTCTGGTGTAAACTAGCCCTTAAAGTGACGCTAAACTCGGTAGTTAAACCTTTAAAAATGCATTAAAGTACCCTATCAACAAAAATGTAGCTTATTTGTGTGTCACTCGACTGTAGATCCTCAAATCATCTCTGAATTGGTGCTGACACTGTCCTTCCTTCTGGAGGGTGGCTACTTTTGTTCCCCATGGTCCCTGTGTGTGTTGTAGCCACCGCTCCAAGCTCACCCCTGTGATGGACTACATGCTCAATACAAATTGGTAAACTAAATGTGAGATTTTGCGCACATACACTTTAATCTCCATGTGGTTTCTTTACCCAAAATTTATGACAGAAAGGAGAAAAGAAAAAATTTACCGTAAAAAAAATTCAAAAAATGACTTTTCCCTGGTTATCATTGTTGGGGATAGTCAGGGAAAGGTCACCTATTGTCCATCATGGTAAATTGTCAAAATAAGGAGATTTATTGGAAAAGTAAAATAATACTCTTCCCAATATTTTGAGTTGGTGAGTGACACTGCAGCTGTCACACTCCAGCTTTTTAGCTTGAGAACTAAACGATCACAAACTGCTGATCGCTCAGCTCATGGTCTTTTCAGTGTTGACTGTCATTCACCTCTTCCCGCAGGGATTCACCCCTCCCCTCACTATTCCTCCAGGGCTCATTGGAGGGACAAACGGGAGGGGGCGGGCACAGCTATTTTCAGGCTCTAGAAAGGCAGAGCCAGCGGTCAATCAGGCTTTAGATCCCGACAATATTGTTGTGATTCTTCCCAGCTGCGGTGTGGCTCTGCGCTGTTGCCATATAGTGGGCAGTAGCCCACCATTTGCTGAGCTTGGGTCACATTAGTAAATGTACTCCTGTGACCCAATAGAGAAGTGAAGCCAAAAAAAAAGGATTTGGTTTAGTTCTTTTTTAAGACCGCTATACTTTGATTTTCCAGCAATGTAATGTTACTTGCTTGTAAAATACTTCATGGTTTACCTATTAAACCGTGTGCCCCAAAGGAAAATGAGCCACCAGAAGGAAAGTAGAGTCCAAGGAAGTCTACGTTGACAGGATGATTCTTCCATACACGATGCAGGATTATCCAGAAAGTCATGTTATCATCTATTGTAATAGTAATATTACTCTCCTTCTTCACTGACACAGTGAGCCTGAAAAAAAAAAAGTAACAACTTTGTCAGATTTGTCAAAAATACATACTATTACAAGTGCTTAAATGTTATAAACCCTTCCATGACTGGCAGAATTTCACCTGATAGACTGATATTTAAAACCTATTGTATATTTCTAGTGATATATCTAAACGTACTAACATTTTTTTAATAAAAAAGTTAGTGTTACCTTATATTCAATTCCATAAGGGTAAATTATTGTTTTCCCCTGGAGTTCTTCTTTAACAGCAGGATATCAGTGACTATAGAGATGTAACTGGGAGAAGAAGACCCTTGCCAGGGTGAAAATGAAATAAACTCTAAGGTGTCCATAGACTTTAGAAGGCACTCTCTTGAAAAACTGCTGAACCAGGTGACCATATAATGCCTATGAGCAACTCACGGACACCACTAGCCCAGATAGAGGTGAGATAGATTTAAAGAAAACTTTATCCAGTCGCTACAACTGAAGGTAACTGCAATGCACCCCCCTCCCTGGCTAAACCCGAGGCCACTATGTAGGTTTATAAGGGATTTTAGAAATAGATGCCATAGAATGGTCACAAAACACATGCTATATCTTCTAATGTCTGTGGACTGAAGAAAACGTCAGCAATATTGGCTCTCATATTTCTATATTCACAGGTTAACTGTAAGCATATTCTTAAATTATATAAATCACAAAACTATACTCACCAGTCTGTTACAGATACTTCTAAACTACTATACATACAGTGTATGGAAGTAAAGAAACTTCTAACAGCTCTCTAGTGAGCTTTATCAGTCAGTTAAAGCTGTGTTTCCAGCCTACACTCACCTCTTGTAGGCCAGGCTTATGGACTCAGACCAGCCCATCACTCTACTGTAAGATGCATCTTTCACTGTTATTTTCTCAGTGCCTACTTCAATCTTCATGTCCAGCTGCTTGAAATACAAGCCAAATGTACCAAAGTAGGTGTTCAGCTTGCCATCCTTAGCTTTCTTAGCTGTAATTATCTTACCATTAATCGCAATACCTGCAAAAGAAAACATTACTTTCTGGTTTACTTTTTCTCAGAGTTAGCGTTCATAAAACTGACATTTTTGCCCACCTGGTTTATCCATCTCAGTTAGGCCTTGATTTTTATTTAGTGAGCTGCCGTGCTTTGCTCAGTATTGGCTGCAACGTGGAGGAAGAATCAATTACATTGGGGAGATCTCTCTTCTGGAGTAAGTGGGAAGTTCAGCTTACTGGTGCCCCGCTACAACTTTCAGGTAGCTTTTAGTGGATTTAAGTTAAAAATGCCCAGTTTTAGCTAAATTAAATACTTTTTCTCAATACCAATCTTCTAATTATTAAATTAAGATTGGGTGAGTTCTATGGGGTCCAGTCACTCTGTGGCAAAATTCTCCCTATTTAACTCTGAGGCATGGACACTTCTGTCCACCTTCCATACCTATTCGTATATACTTGTTCATTTACTGACTTGAAAACTCCCCAAGGCCACCACAAAACATAATGTTCAGGTATCATAGAATCTCCTGCTAAAAATGATTATTTCTACAGCTCAGGGTACAGCAATGTGATCTGCAAGTTGTGGAAAGTTTGAAATGAAAGAACAAATAATGTAACATACCTTTTGTAATTGACACCCAGGACAGATAGTTTTTCTTTTACATCCCCATGCTTTATTCAGCAAAATTATTTTCAGTAGTGATCTTGAAATGATTATTAATGATCCCCTCAATGCTAAAGCCTGATGAAGGGACCCTGTGTGGTCCCGAAAGTGCTTGTTGGTCATATGACAAGAAACTTCAATAAATGAAGCTTTTGCTATCCTAAAAGGACTGGTGTGCTGGTGACATTTCTACAATTTTGCTGACATTCGCGGCACCATCTGCAGTCACTGCGAGCACCCCCCACTACAAGGGACATATCGATAAGGAGTGCGACAAGGATAGTACCTATTAATCCCCAACATTAATGGTCACTGTCTAAGTGACTTCTTGCATTTGTGGTCAATGCAGGTAGGAGATTAATTAGCCGCTGCTCAAGGAACCCCTAGTAGCTTCTAGAAGGATCTCTAGAATATCACAGAACCCTGTTTGAGAAAGAATGTTCTGAACGTTAGAAGGGGCTTTATTTTGCTGGCTTGTAGCCATGGAAGAATCACCAGGATAGTTACAGCTCACCATGTTCTCACAATAATTACTAGGCAGTTAAGCAAAAATAGGTAAAATAAAGTAGGCTGCTACCTACTTCACCTTGGAAAAATAGTATGATCTTTGTACATTGAAATTACTTTAGAGAAACCTAGAGCTACAGACAGAAAGGTGGACTGAATGATGACACTCATTACCTAATACAAAACAATAAATATATTAGATGCAAACAACTTTGCTTGCACTTACCTAATTCATTATCAGTCAGGAGGTTCAGCATATTTCCTGGTTGTGCATCAATGTTGAAGCAGACATCTGTTTGGCTGTTTGGTAAGTTTATAATGAAATGTGGATCTGTATCAACTGCAAATAAATTGTCAGTGTTAACATGCTGTTGATGTTATATATTCTTACTCTTCATCATGCAGAGGTTATTAACCGTTGTTTTTTATAAAACATATCTGCTGGAATATAAAATATCTTGATTCTAAAGTATTTATCATAAAATGATATTATATTTAGTTTTGGTGTGGTGTAGCAGGTATCTGAAACAAACCGTGCTACCAAGCATCCAAATTGATCAATTCACTGAGATTAGCATAAGAGTAATGCTAGCCATACGTGCTACAAATTTCAGTCCCGTGGGTTGAACGAGAGAAATCCATCGCCTCCACATTAATGCTAAACAGCAAGGATGGGATTGTAGCCAGACTCTAAATTAATATGCAATTCTAAATCCTCAAAGGTAGTGGTAGATACTTATTTTATTAATATAATCACTTCTTTAATACAACCCCACATATAATTCCAGAGACCCATAAACCTTTATATAATTATGCAAATTATAATATGCAGACAGCAGTATTCTGATAGCTAATCAGAAGTCAGTTCATTGTTTAAAGCATTGCTAAATGGGCATCACGGGAGAGAGTAAAGGAGGCCAGTTCTCCTGTCCCACCTTGGAACGCTACACCACCTTGTTAATGGTGACTTGTATATTCACTGCATGGCGCACCCAGTGGTGAATTACCTTTGTATACCCCTCATACAAATTGCATAGCGGGATACATATGGAGTGGTAGAATATATCCGATAGGCATGAATTTAATAGCAAACATCACTCCCATGATATAACGATTTGGCAGAAAACTGGGGGCTGTCCTAATATTCTGTCTTCACGCTTGCACACGGAATATCTTTTTAATAGATATCTCCAGAGTTGTGGCTCTAACGTTTCTGCAATGCTATATGGAAGTCTCATGAGCAGTTGAAGAAGTGGTATAATCTGTAAAACGCAGAGAGCATGACTCATCTTACTAGACCTCTATCAATTATGACAATTGTGCCTAAAATCGGTTTATGTAATGTATGAATATGGACTGTATAATCTATAGTAGACGGTGTAACGGATGAGTAACAATGAGATAACACGATAAACGTGGCTCCGTTTTCTCTTATCAATTCATGTATTTTGTGCTTTTAACTGTAAAAAATATGTAATTCATTTTTTTAAAATATATATTTAACATTTTGTGTGGGTACTTCAAAAGTCCGTCAACTATTTGTATCTTCTGTTGGTAAATGGTGGTAAAAGGTGAGTTTAAACTGATTTCTCTGGGTTACTTATGATGTTGCTGTTTTCTGTAAGACCTATAGACATGTTAAAGTCCATTTACTGCACTAAATCACTTTAGATTATAGCTAACACATGACCAGATACATATTTACCACAAGTTGGAGTTGGAGTTTTTCCAATCAGACATTCAGTTTTCGGTATCATTGATATTGTTAGCTGTCTCGCCTCCTCAGGTGTCTCAGATGGAGATAGGGTTGTCTGAGGTGTCTTTGGTGTTGTTATATGCTGAACCGGACTCTTTGTAGCTAGTATTGCTAGTGGAACAAAAATAATTGTTATCCATTTACTACAGTAACAAAAGAGTGTTAAAGAAAACTTAACCAAAACAATTACATTTAGTTCAAATGGAGAATTTCTTCCCCAGATCCAATCACTATCCAAATCCTGCCGCCTTCACCTTCAAAACATCTCCAAAATACACCCCTTCCTCACCAATGAAACCTCAAAACTACTCATCACCACTCCCTTGTTATCTCTCGTCTTGACTATTGCAACTCCCTGCTCATTGGCCTTCCTCTACACAGGCTATCCCCCCTTGAGTCTATCATGAATGTTGCTGCTAGACTCATTCACCGAACCAATCGCTCAGTGTCTGCAACCCCCCTCTGCCAATCCCTCCACTGACTTCCAGTATCCCAAGGGATAAAATTCAAAATATTAAAAACGACTTACAAAGCCATCCACAACTCTGTCCCCGTCTACATCTCAAATCTTGTCTCACAGTATCACTCTAACCGTCCCCTCCACTCTTCCAAAAACCTCCTGCTTTCCAGCTCCCTCGTCAACTCCTCCCATGCTCACCCCCAGGACTTCTCTAGAGTCTCTCCCATCCTCTGGAACTCTTTACCCCAACCTGTCCGACTATCTCCCACTCTGACTTTCTCTAGGCAATCCCTTAAGACTCATCTCTTCAGGGAAGCCTATCCCACCTCAACCTAACCACTGAACCATCACGTTCTCAAACAATACATTCCCACACAGCTACCTCCACATGCATCACTTGCCCCATCCCTTATAGATTGTAAGCCCCCAGAGGCAGTGCCCTCCTTACCATCTTGTCTTGAATTGTATTGTGATGGTAATGTCTTCCTTATGTGCACTTCCTCCCATCCCTGTTACTACATGTCTATACCTCAGTATGGACATGAATCAGAGAAACAGAGAAACAGTCTGAGAGCCAGGGCTCTGTTGGACTTCAAGTGCAGTGACGTCACCTCACTTGTATTGCATTGAAACTACAAGTCCCTCTGCCAAGGTGGCTGATGGGACTTGCAGTTTTTCCATTCACAGATCCTACAATTTGACCATGTTTCATGTTACACCCTAAATACGGGTGTAACATGAAATATGGCTAGAAACATGTACTTGGTCTTTAAGGGACCCCAAACTGGTAACCTTGTGGGATGCAGAAGCAGGTTACTCCAGTTCTAAACATGTACCCACCACGTCAATAAGGACCAATATAGTATCCTTCAGCCTAGGAGTTATTTCCGCAGTCTGAGCTTCCCCAGGCACCAGATCAACCAAAAGGAATATATTAGAATATATTAGTCAGCGATCATAATAGTGATCTTTTACATAAATTCTTCCCTGGATAACACAGATGAGGGAGCCATGCAGGATGGAGCCAAAGAAGGCTCTAAAGAAGGAACTGTGCACTATGAACATAGTGGATTATGGTGCAAGAAGTTCCTTCCTTTGGACCTGACACCGACTGGACCATGCTTCGCTACGAGAGTCCTCACATTCCTTAGAGCCTTCTTTGGCTCCATCCTGCATGGCTCCCTCATCTGTGTTATCCAGGGAAGAATTTATGTAAAAGATCACTATTATGATCTCTGACTCAGAATGCAGGGGCAGCAAGCGTATTTTGATGCCTTCTCCTCTAAAGGTTGTCCCCGATAGCTGCCTTTCCACATTTGGCTCAGGATAAAAAAAGTCTAATATATTCCTTTTGGTTGATCTGGTGCCAGGGCTGGCGGAGTAGGAACAGAAGTGCCTTGCTTCTCTCAGGTACGTAACCACTGGCACTAATGATTTATTTAGCACCAAATCACAACCAACATAAAAGGCACTTCACCACTAACCATCAATGAAAAAGGTATCATACCGACCACCAATACAAGAGGCACTTTACCCCTTACCACTAACATCAGGGGCACTTCCACTCTGACCAGCAATGTAAGGAATTATTACACTGACCACTAATGTGGTTTGAGAATTTTGTAGAAGAGGAACATTTTCTGAACAACAGGAAAACATTCTTTTCACTTCTGTAGTGATTTATCAATGTGTTTAGCAGATGTAGCAACCATACTTGTGGGGCTGGCAGCAGTGACCCTAGTCCTAGACGGATTATTTATTTCCCATCATTGTAAAAATTGGAACAGCATTGCCATGTTTTATTAGACAGAGGATGCTTTCATACCCACATAGTGTCTATAGTACGTGATATTACTAACGATGCTCAATTTTATCACTGCAGTCTCAAAATGTTAACTACTCCCTATACACTTTTCTTCATATTGGATTAAAATGTACAAAGCACAAATTCTGCAATAGTTACTGGTGTTATATTTTATACTTTGTATGGACTTTAAACTCATCAGTGCATCATCTTGTATAATTGCTGAAAAGTAAAAAGGATTCTCACTTGGACAGCATGCTCCTTTGCTTAAGCTTGGGGGATCTGCCAACATTCTCTCTTTGCCATCCTCACTCTCGATCAGCAGTGACGTGAAGGGAGTCACTAAATGATGTGTAATTGACAGCTGCATTATTTTGGTCGTAAGTGTCCTCTTGACCTCTGCTGTAGTTGCTAAGCTCCTGTAGTAGAAATCGACAAGTTATAATCTATGGGAAAAGTTTTGATAACCGAATATCTTTCCTTGACATTATGTCAATAGGCAACAAATTTATAATGGCATGCTTTTTCCTCATGTTTTTTTTCTATTACCCTGACTGTTTGAAAGAAGAGTTTGAATGTCAGCTAACTCTCTGCCATCCTTAAGAGACACAATAATAATATTATAGGCAATTTTAATCGTAGCCCAATATCTATCTATATAAAATGTTTAGTCTTTATTTGACTGATTAGACTGCCAATGTCACTCTAAGGCAGTGTAGATATTAAGGATGTCCCGATACGATACTAGTGTCGGTATCGGGACCGATACAGGGCATTTTCACAAGTACTTGTGCCTGTGAAAATACCCCGATACACAGCGCTGATATCTGTGCTATAATTTTTTTGTTAGGTAGCTTAATGCTGCCCAGAGGTGCTGTGCTTGTTGGGGTCTTCTGGACAGTCTGCCTGGCAGCTAAATGAGGACTTTGCTGGAATGCCTCCCACAAGCACACCAGAGACACTGAGCACAGACACGCTGACGCACTCCCGCCCAGTGCCGACTACTAGAGGGATGCATGAGACACCAGCGATTGGACAGTTGGGCCATTCTAAAAAAAACAAACTGTGAATGAGGGAAGCTGTGACAGGGCTGGCTGCAGGTATCAGAACGGACGGGGCCTGTGCTCTGTGCCTGTTGTCGGCACACTGAAAGTTGCAGGTGGGGTCACCAGCCGGTTTAATTGGGGGAAGTGGCACAGATTTGAAGAAGTAGGGGAGAATTGTAACTATATTACTGCAATGTACTGGAAGTGTGTACTAGGTTAAATGATCCATAGTACACACTTCCAGTACACTGCAGTAATAGAGTTACAAATTCTTCCCTGCTAATATGAATAGGTTAAATGATCCCAGAGGCAGATGCATGATTGGATTTGTAGTATCACTGCAGCTGTAGTGCCGAAGTTGCCTGCCCAGGACCGGATTTACAATTTGTTCTGGTTTTACAACTTTGTGAAAGCAAATAAAAATGTTTTATTGTTCTAAAACAGTCTTTTAAATTAAAGTTCTTCATAATAAGAAATTGGCCTAAAATCATTAGTCTGTATTGTTTTTTTAAAAAGTCACCTGTCCCTTTAAGAAAAAGTATTGGTGATTGGTATCAGCAAGTACATGTGCGGAAGTACTTGTACTTGGTCTTGAAAAAGTGGCATTGGGACATCCCTAGTAGATATATTAGTTGACTTCATCCTGTGCTCTCATCAATGTGTTTATGGCCACACATGGTCATTTCCATTGGGCCAGATCATTAAGCGAGTACAGTGTGTATTCAGAATATTCTGAGAGGTGGGCAGCCTCTGATGCAGCGGACTCATACTAGGCAGGCCGTAGCCAGTGTAGTATGTCCATGTGGTATTATGAGATGTTTGAAAGCGTTCTTATGGACACTTTGAAACTGAAGCCTTGTTGTATACAGTGATGAACTAAAATCTACTATTGCTTGTGAGTGTATTTAAAAAAAGTTTTTTAAAGCGTCTTTACTACTTCACAAGGCCAGTGCACGCTGGTATTGGTTTGGTTAACATATTTATTATAGCTAGTACTAATGTCAAATACATATTCTTTAAAGGACCACTGTCAAAGAAAAATGTTGTATTCTGATAACTATATGTTGTTCACACTTACAGTAAATAGTATTTAGAATATACATTTTATTTCACAAGCCTTTATATTTTCATACACATTAACCTGCAGGCTATGCTCTCTACCATACGTGCCACTGCCAGGGGTTGGGGAAATTTTAACACTGTAGGGGTGCCTGAGCAGTTGCAGCAAATGATAGATTACTAACCTGTGGTTAAAATATATAAAAAATATATATTGTTAAAGCTCATCTCCAGCTTTGTAGTAATGTGACTTAAGATATTAGTTATTAAGTCACTTTGATGGTGCATTCTTCTTACTTGCTTGTCGTGAAAATATTTTACTTTTTAATATATGTTTTACAATATAATTTTAATCCTATTTTACATTTCTCTGTATTGGCAGTAATCATTTCCCCCCTTATTGACACACACACTCTACTGGTATATAAACAGTAAGAAAATGAGGCATCCTCTTCCTTACCTCTGGGCTAATAACTGGTTGATTGTCAGCTGAGCCCAGTATTGCTTGGCAAAATCAGGGAAGGCATGCTTGCTTTCTGCAAAGAATTCATTTAGGGCTTCTACTTCTGTTATTGTTTCCATTAGGAACTGTATATCCCCCTACACATGAAAGAAATATTATATATGTATTGTTAAATCATATACCCTGACTTTAAATTGCCTTAGACTTTCATCATGTAAAACATCTAGTAATGTTGCTGTGTTCTCATTCTGGGTTACACACAGTGTTTCATCTCAAAGGAGGGCCTAACGGAAAGCATAGAAAATGTACTTTTTGCCTTTCAGTTTAATTAATGTTCTTCCTATAAAGCTTGCAAAAGGAAGACTTTATGTACTTTGCATTAGCAGATACCAGGCACTGGATTGTAAAGTAGTCATTACACCGCAGAGCACAAATGTCTACTGTGGTCACCAGTGGAACAGGTATTAGCATCTAAAACCCAGGTAGACCAGGCCTAAAATCATTAGTCTGTATTGTTTTTTTAAAAAGTCACCTGTCCCTTTAAGAAAAAGTATTGGTGATTGGTATCAGCAAGTACATGTGCGGAAGTACTTGTACTTGGTCTTGAAAAAGTGGCATTGGGACATCCCTAGTAGATATATTAGTTGACTTCATCCTGTGCTCTCATCAATGTGTTTATGGCCACACATGGTCATTTCCATTGGGCCAGATCATTAAGCGAGTACAGTGTGTATTCAGAATATTCTGAGAGGTGGGCAGCCTCTGATGCAGCGGACTCATACTAGGCAGGCCGTAGCCAGTGTAGTATGTCCATGTGGTATTATGAGATGTTTGAAAGCGTTCTTATGGACACTTTGAAACTGAAGCCTTGTTGTATACAGTGATGAACTAAAATCTACTATTGCTTGTGAGTGTATTTAAAAAAAGTTTTTTAAAGCGTCTTTACTACTTCACAAGGCCAGTGCACGCTGGTATTGGTTTGGTTAACATATTTATTATAGCTAGTACTAATGTCAAATACATATTCTTTAAAGGACCACTGTCAAAGAAAAATGTTGTATTCTGATAACTATATGTTGTTCACACTTACAGTAAATAGTATTTAGAATATACATTTTATTTCACAAGCCTTTATATTTTCATACACATTAACCTGCAGGCTATGCTCTCTACCATACGTGCCACTGCCAGGGGTTGGGGAAATTTTAACACTGTAGGGGTGCCTGAGCAGTTGCAGCAAATGATAGATTACTAACCTGTGGTTAAAATATATAAAAAATATATATTGTTAAAGCTCATCTCCAGCTTTGTAGTAATGTGACTTAAGATATTAGTTATTAAGTCACTTTGATGGTGCATTCTTCTTACTTGCTTGTCGTGAAAATATTTTACTTTTTAATATATGTTTTACAATATAATTTTAATCCTATTTTACATTTCTCTGTATTGGCAGTAATCATTTCCCCCCTTATTGACACACACACTCTACTGGTATATAAACAGTAAGAAAATGAGGCATCCTCTTCCTTACCTCTGGGCTAATAACTGGTTGATTGTCAGCTGAGCCCAGTATTGCTTGGCAAAATCAGGGAAGGCATGCTTGCTTTCTGCAAAGAATTCATTTAGGGCTTCTACTTCTGTTATTGTTTCCATTAGGAACTGTATATCCCCCTACACATGAAAGAAATATTATATATGTATTGTTAAATCATATACCCTGACTTTAAATTGCCTTAGACTTTCATCATGTAAAACATCTAGTAATGTTGCTGTGTTCTCATTCTGGGTTACACACAGTGTTTCATCTCAAAGGAGGGCCTAACGGAAAGCATAGAAAATGTACTTTTTGCCTTTCAGTTTAATTAATGTTCTTCCTATAAAGCTTGCAAAAGGAAGACTTTATGTACTTTGCATTAGCAGATACCAGGCACTGGATTGTAAAGTAGTCATTACACCGCAGAGCACAAATGTCTACTGTGGTCACCAGTGGAACAGGTATTAGCATCTAAAACCCAGGTAGACCGGTAAGAAGGAATATGTAACGATATCCAAGTTGCCCCTTTAGGAATAAGAGCAAAAACATGAAGATTACTGTATACATTAGCCATTTTTGTGGTCCACATATAACCTTAAATCATGAATGCTATTATTGCAGGCGGCAAATGACTTTGTGGCGGCATGCAACTACTTAAATTACAACTTTATACAATTTATCCTCCCAGTAGTCTTTTTGAAGGAACTAGAAAAAAAAAACAATAAACAGAAAGTTTAACTTGTATCAGTCACAAACAGGAAATTAAATTGCATAGAACACCTACAGCAGAAGTTGCAGTGATCAAGCTTTCGACCTTTGGTGTCTTCTCAGCGTCAACTTTACCAGCAACAACAATTTCATCACCTCCAAAGTAGTGGTGGAAGCGGCTAGTAGTCACATCTGAAATGCCATTTGTCGGGTAATCGAAAATTATGTCTTTCAGCAACGGAGTGGAAACCTTTTTATAAAATTCCTATAAGACACAATTTAAGTATTATTAAACTCTAAAACTTTTTTTCCAATACTGAATCCAGATCAAACAAATATACATTGCCCAGCAAAATATTTCTTTAAAATTTTGCCCAAGCACTTACATTCATTATGTTTCCAAACAGCTGTCTCCAACTTACTCAGCTTCGGCTTCCCTAAATTTCCTGTCCAGTAACAGATTACAAGGGACAGAGCACTCTCCAGCAGCTCTCCATCTACTAGCTTGGAGAATGGGGAAGGGAGGAGTGGGGACCAGGGGAATGGTTTGCCTTGCTGTGTCTGTGTGTTTGATGTGGGGACACACGGGGGGCTTCAGCTGTCATTGTGATGTGTTGAGCTTCTGTTGTGTCCCTGAACCTTTAAGGAGATTGGGCTGCCTTCTGGCAAACCTGCATCCAATTCATCCTTTGCTATATATGCTCCAAGATAGAGGCTCTCATAGATTAGAGTTAGGACCACACTACACAGAGGGGCCTTGACGAAGCATTGTTGCTTCCACATATTTTGAAAAAGCTGTGCAACTAACACCTCTACTTTTAATCCTAAGAGTTAGACAGTGTAATTTTTTATTTTTGTTTGCCGGCTAGCTGGTAAGTGTGCGTGGAAATTTTTGATTTTGTATTGTGTGTTTGTAGAGACGCACAGCTTATTAACACACACAAGGGTGGCTCCATAGGATCCTGCAAGGCAAACAAGCCACCCTAAAACAGGATATCAGGGCCAGTGCTTTGGGGACCAGCTGATTCTGCAGGAAGCTAAAACTTTTAGAGATCAAGGAGCAGCATCCATTGTACGTGATTTAACCAGCATTTGTAATAGTCTAAAAACCTTTGACCTTTAACCACTTGAAGACCGGGGTGTTAAACCCCCTTCCTGTCCAGGCCAATTTTCAGTATTCAGCACTGCGGTACTTTGACAATTATTCAGTCACGCAACGCTGTACTGAAATTAATTTTATATAATTTTTTGGGACAGATAGAGCTTTTGTTTGGTGGCATTTAATCACCACAGGGGTTTTTATATTTTACTATATAAGAAATAAATACAGAAAATTTTGAGAAAAACAACTCTTTACCCTAATTTATGATATGAAACATTTATTATTACCCAATTTTTTGGTAAAATATACAGGATGGGGTCACGTCGGGTAAATAGACACCAAGCATATTAAGTCTTAAAATTGTGTGTGCTCGCGAAATCTCAAAAAACTGCCATACTCAAAACTGCCCGTAGGCAATGATTTAAACGCTTTTACCGCTCATCAATTTAGCCTTAACAGTGATCTATGGCCCTAGAATTATTGATCACACTCCGACGTTCATGGTCATAGTAACATGCAATCGTGGTTTTCACACGTAGGTGCACCTGATACATGTTTGCATTTCTATGTGTGTGTACATGGGGATTTTTAAAAAAATAGTTTTTTTCAAACAAAATTTTATGTAATTTTTCACATTTAAACGTGCTTTTTTTTCTTACACTTAACATTCTTGCTATCACATAGGGAGCTTGTTAGCTCCCTATGTGCTAGCACAGACACAGTGACAGGCCCTCCTTATGGGGACATCAGGGATCTATTAGACCCCTAATGTCACCTAGGGACCCCAAAGAAGCTGATGAAGTAGAGATCTGCTTCATCAGCTTCTTCTCTGGCTACAGGAGCCGGAGAAATGAGAGGCTGCAAGCGGAGGTGATGTAATACACATTGGGTCCGCATTCAGAAATCCGAAGTGAGATCAGCCGCTGGAAATGTGCTGAACTCCCTCCAATCTCTGTGCAGAGACCCGCCTTGCCGATCCCGGGCTTGCACAAGGGAGATCAGAGCCGGGGATAGCCGGCAGCGGCGGTGGAGGGGGGGGGGGGGGGTCTGCGCACTCCCACGTACGCTTTATAGCTACCTGATCACTTGTATATAACAGCCATTGCCAGCTGGAAACAGTGTTCACGATTCCTGCTCGTCTGTGCATGAGTGCGAGTGGTAAAGGACGCTAAAAAATGGCCACCCGTGGTTAAAGGTTAACTGTTTAATTACAACGGCCAGACGGGAAGCAGTCAATAGCACTTTAAGTAGTTGTGTATGGTAAAGCTTGTATTTCCAAAACTGCCCTGCATACGTTCTGTTTTACTATGAACTGATGTCACACATCTTGTACTAATAATACTCTAAGTTGCAAAAAGATTTTTATAGCTCTTAGGCTTTCTCCAAATATTAGATGGTGGTTGGAAATACAGACACAATCCAAATGCCTAAACACTCTTCCTACTAAAGATCTTTCTACAATCATTCAGTTCAACCTGGGATACATGTTTGTGCTAATAGTAAAGAAAGGAGCAATATTTATACACCCTGGTGATAGCCTATCCCACTGGGAAAACATATGTGGTTGGCTGAATAAATGCAACCCAGCTAATCTATTTTCCTTCCTCTTGAAGTAAACAGCAAAAAAAGAGATAGATGGGGCTTTTAAGGTGTAAAAAAATGCAATTAGGGATAATACAACATAGTAATGACAAAATTACATAGTAAAATAACATTTATTTATTAAAAGATTACATGATCCACATGATAAAAATAATATACCCGCTAGTATCCATGATCAAACAGCATAAAACCTCCCTGGACTCTGTACATGTGCATGATACATGCATAATAGATACAATGAACTTATTTTATCAATTACATTACAATAAATAATTTTATATAAATAGTCATAATCAAAGTAAGATATACTGCAAGTCTGTACTGCGTCCAGCCTTCTATGCATTTCGCCGAAGCTTCATCAGGAAGTCGGAGGTAGCCTTTAAGAATCTTAAAGGCTACCTCCAACTTCCTGATGAAGCTTCGGTATATCTAAAGTATTTACCTATATTAGGGGTGCGGTGTCCTTGTTCATGTAGTGATTCAAAACTTTTTACTATTCCTTCCTCTTTAAGAATGGTATTGCTGGCAAGGATGGGCGTTGTATACATACATACTATTGTTTCCCAAATAGAATATAACTAGCTGAGAAGGTTAAAATGAGTACTACTTTTATAAGCACCATTAAAGACCTCTTGCTAAAGACTAAAATGAGACAATGGTATTATACAAAATGATTAAAACAATCAAAAACTGCTTCAAACAAACATTTTTAGAAAAAATGTGTACAACCCATAACCCCATTAAAGTAAATATGTCATGAGAGAAATATGGGGGATGTCATTATCCCTTTTCCTGCAGGTTATATAAGGCCTCAAAGGAAATGCAGAGACAGCATACCTTAAGCTGGGCTCCTGTATCCTGGTTTCCAAAGATCCTCTGAGCTAGTCCATGATTTTCCTGGGCAAGTCTTTCTAAGAAGTCATAGTCTACATCAAATCCAATACCAAGGGAATGGAGGGAGAACTCATCACGATTGTTTACCTTAACATTCTTCAGAATCTTAGAAAGTTTAAGTTCACCTAGATAGAAACAGTCAATATAAATGCCGTTGTATGCATGATTTAGAGCACTTCCAATAAAACATTTAATCATAAGGTGACATGTTTTCAAGCAAAAACTGGTTATAAACATTGTGCAGACAATAAAATGATCTGTATGAGGAATACAATCCAGAATTTTTATTCTATGCATTCTAAATACTAAAGGAGGATGTGGACATGTCAAGTGTAAAAAAGCATTTTGTCATGAACTTAAATGGCTTTTTCTTTTTAACAGTAGCATTAAAAATCATAGTCATATACATCACATCTACTCACTTTTGATTCCTTTAAGTCCCACATCCACTTACTATCTAAATCTTGACACCTCAACCTGTGTAACAGTTCCAAAATTGACCTCTTTTTTACAGATGACACTGAAAAGCTTCTAATTCACTCCCTTGTAATCTCTCGCCTCGACTATTGTAACTCCCTCCTTGTTGGCCTACCACTAAATAGGCTATCCCCCATTCAGTCTATCATGAATGTTACTGCCAGACTCATCCACCTTACCAACCAAGTGTCTACCGCCCCTCTCTGCAAATCTCACCATTCTCTTCAAGGAAGCCTACTCCACCATGACATAATAACTGTCCGTTTTACTTCTTCCATTAACTCATCCCACACAATGATTTCCTTTTGTATCAATGGCCCTTCCTACTAGATTGTAGGGTTTGTAGGGAAACGGGTTTGACACCGATAATAAAACACATAGTTCATCACAAAATATAGCCAAGTGGTTGACAGAACCCGGGATACAACAAAGACTTAGTCTACTTAATGCAAATAAAGCGTTGGGACCTGACAATCTACACCCCAAGATACTTAAGGAAGTAAGCGAGGGTACAACTAGACCATTATTCCTCATTTTTAAGGACTCTCTAATGACTAATAGAGTTCCGAGTGACTAGCGGAGGGCTACGGTAGTTCCAATATTTAAAAAGGGAGCAAGATGCCAACCTGGGAATTACCGACCAGTTAGTCTTACATCGGTAGTTTGTAAACTGTTAGAGGGAATGATTAAGGACCACTTAGTAGAATTCGTGCGGGAAAATGACAAAATAAATGACAACCAGCATGGGTTTAGGAAAGACCGTTCCTGTCAGACTAACCTACTGACTTTTTACGAGGGGGTAAGTAGAGATCTGGATGGAGGGAGGTCTGTGGATGTGGTATATCTGGATTTCGCTAAGGCTTTTGATACGGTACCTCATAAACGCTTACTATACAAGCTGAGAGCTATGGGCATAGATGGAAGGGTGTGTACATGGATAGAGAACTGGCTAAAGGAACGGGTACAGAGAGTATCAATAAATGGCGCCCTTTCAGACTGGGCTAGTGTCATTAGCGGTGTGCCTCCGGGTTCTGTGCTGGGACCCATGCTTTTCAACCTGTTTATTAACGACATCGGGGACGGAGTACACAGCGATATCTCAGTGTTTGCTGACGATACCAAAATTGGGAGGGTAATAGAAACAGAGCAAGATAGTGTAACATTGCAGGAGGACCTGGATAAAATAGGGGAGTGGGCAACTATGTGGCAGATGAGGTTTAATGTCGATAAATGCAAAGTTATGCACTTTGGGAGGAATAATAGGCAAATGGGTTATACAATTATGGGTATGCTGCTAGGGAAGTCGGAAATGGAGAAAGATTTGGGGGTCATTGTAGACCACAAACTGAATAATAAATTACAGTGCCAGGCTGCTGTAAGCAAAGCTAGTAGAATCTTGTCCTGCATCAAGAAGGGAATATTTTACAGGGATAGGTCTATAATTATGCCACTTTACAGATCAATGGTTCTGCCCCACCTGGAGTATGCGGTGCAGTTTTGGGCACCGGTCCACAGAAAGGATGTCCTTGAACTGGAGAAGGTCCAGCGGAGGGCGACCAAAATCATAAAGGGAATGGAGGACCAGAGCTATGAGACACGGCTACTAAATTTAAACATTGGAAGTAAGGAGATTAAGGGGGGGACATGATTTTCATGTACAAAATGTTCCATAGTCTTAGCAACAAACTCTTTGAGATTATTTCAAAGACTAGAGGACACCACCTAAAACTGGTAGAAAAAAAAAAATTCGAACACAAGGGGCGAAGGGGGTTCTTCTCAGTTCACGCGGTTAGGGTCTGGAACTCACTGCCTCAAGCGGTAATTTCCGCAATTAATCTGGAATCATTCAAGATGCTTTTGGACGACTTCCTGAGAGACTGAAATGTACAAGGGTACAGGTACTCTTAAGAACACACACCCACACACACACACACACACACACACACCTTGATGGACTTATGTCTTTATTCAACCTCAAATACTATGTAACTATGTAATTTCTCACGAGCAGGGCCCTACTAACCCTCCTTTTTTGAAATTGTATTGTAACTGTACTGCGTACCTCCATGTTGTAAAGCGATGTGCAAACTATTGGCACTATATGAATCCTGTATAATAATAATCATAATAATATTATAATCATTTGTGAGTATGGTCAGATAAAACTCATTATACAAAAACCCCGATATGGATTGGCATAGCAATTTACTGATTACAGTGTTAAGGACCAAGTATGTATATTTTGCACTTCATTTACATAGTTACAGTAACACATTTTTATCTTACCTACAGTTGGATCCCCATCTGAAACCAGCACAATCAAAGAAACTGAGTTTGGCTCCAACATTTTATGGTCATTTGCTTCTTTCAGTATGAATATTGCTCTAAGAAGGGCTTCATTGATATTAGTGCCTGTTAAGATTATTAGCATATTACTTTGACATACATACATGGACAGTATACACTACTTTAAGCAACAGTGAATATGTTTTAAATCGTTATGAACACGTGAGTATCTCCTAATGTTTATAAATCTTTTCTAAGCCTCCAACATGATTCTAGATAACATTTCACATGTTTTCATGTTCTATGCTTTAGAATTAATGTATTTATCATGGAAGTACAGCCTTACATTTTGAAAGAAATTCAATTTAACTCATAATTTGAAGGTGCCCCTAAACCAAAACCTTACCTTATTCTGAACATACCTCTAAACTTAACCTAATTTTAAACCACACAAATCACAAAGAAAATAATGCTATCACTCCAGTACCACATAATAATATAGAAATAAACTATTGTGTGTCAACATTTATGATACTAAACACCCCGCATGAAGAATTAAGGTGCAACTGGACTCGAAAAGTAATATCAGATTAACAATTTTCAGTCTGACATGAGGAAACAAAGCCCCGCCTCAACCGGAATGGCCACCTCCACACAGAGACATGGTGTGGAAAAAGACTTGGCTGAATGGAAATACTATAGAGTGTCACTTGAGTGACAGATCTGAGTCTGCTGGTGCTACTAATGTACATATACTCTTATGGGAAAGTTTCTGTTATTGATGGTCTGGTGACAGAATGTGTCCTAATGGAGAGACTGAAGAATAAACACTAATACAAAAATAATTTTTCATATAAACACTTTTACAGTTTATTTTAATGGAACTTAACCACATATTAAGTACATTATTAAACTACAATATTCTGACTAGAGATTTCTTTTAAAGCTGGTATAGGTAAACAATTTTGGAGGGATACAGCACCAGTCCTGTAAGTTATCTCTAATAAAATGTTTTCTACATTCTGCTGGCTACTAATTAAAACCTCCATTAAAGGAGAACTATGAGGTGAGTGAAAATCACTCCACCTCATAGTTCGAGCAGATGTGTGACAATGAAACTGTCACACATCCGCTCAATAGATCGGTAAGTGAGCGAACACATACCGTCGCTCACTCACTTCTCGATCATGTCCCTGCAGAGAGCCGTGACTGTCAGTCACTGCTCCTCGCAGGGATTCCCCCCTCCCAGCTCCAATCCTGCAGCGCTGACTGGAGGAACGGACGGGGGAGGGGGCGGGTACAGCTGGCTCTGCTTCTAGATAGGCAGAGCCAGCTGTCACTCACACAGCTGAGTGGATCTTGACAGTAATGTTGGGATCCATCCCGGCTGCGGCGGTCTCAGTATACCGCAAGCTGTAGCTCGCGATATACTGAGCTTTGGGTCACGGGAGGACGTCAGTCCTCCCATGACCCTTAAGAGAACTATGACCCTTAAGAGAACTTACCCCATAGTTCTCTTTTAAGTATTGCTGTATGCTCCTCACAGCAGTGAACGTGTAACAGTGAAGGATCAGCACTGCTTGCCCTCCTCTCCTGCCCCCACATTTGGCCATTCACAAAGTCCTAGTTTTATTTTCGAAGAATTCAAGGCATTTTGTGATTAGAGGAAGGGGATCCTGTCATTCTTTTGCCCCTCCTCCACTACACACGAGGTAGTTAGCCTATGCAGTGCCAGAGGTTCACTGGAAGATACATCATCACTGAAGAGAGATTTTTCACATTAATCAACAGCCAGCAGATAGTATGAAACACTTCTCTAGGTTACTTACAGGACTAATGCTGTATCCAAAAATATCTAAACTAAACTAAAGCTTTAGCTTGCAGGATTAAATTGAATGCAAAATTGTACCTCCAATAGCCTGTATATTCTGGACATATCTCTTAGCACTTTCTTTTTCAGTGGGTGATGCATAAACAAGCTCATCCTTCCAGCATCGGATATTGTGGTTGAAGTCAACAATACCAAATTGGTCATCGGTTCGAAGGTCATCCAAAATTGATTTCATTGCTTCAACTGTCTGAAGAGAACACCATGCATAGGTATGAAAACATGCTTTACAGGTCAGTTGAGTGCAAAATTATATTTTATTCAAGGTGGGTGCCGGGGGGAAAGGGGGGTATTAAACCCTGCACTCCTTGCTGTAATTTGCTGTATGCATACCTTTTTTTCCAAGGACCTTCTGTCCTGACTGGTGACATCCCCGCCCTTTTCCCGAAGCGGGCAGTCCTTACTCCAATACTGAACAGCACTTATGTAATGGTTTGTGAGGAACTTTCAATGCAGTACTACCCTGAGCCCAGACTGGTGTGATTATGTACTGGGCTGTGTTTTTTTCCCCCTCTTAGTTGGCCTTTAAAACATATGAGATCTTCCAAATCTATTCTTTTTTTAGGTTGTGTCCTTCACTTACCTGTTTCATCTTAATTCCCCACATGGAACCACTGACATCAATAACAAATAAAATATTCTTTGGGAGTGGAGGCTGATTTTCTGGAGCAAAGAAATGAAGGAAGTATCCATTGAACACCTGATATGGAGAAATAATAGAAATATTGTTTTAGCATGTACCATTTCCTGCTTTGACATGATCTTTACACGTTTTTCTTCAGCTTTTATCAGATTTGTGACCCAAAATGCCATAATATATAAAATATTCTTTATTTCCCAAAATATTAAATTTTTTAAGGATAATTAGAAAAAGCATAGTACTGGCACCAGAAGGTTGGCCTGCGGTCAAAACAAGAGCAGGGCTTATATTTTCTAATGATAAAACTGAAAAGCCCTTGCTTATTTGTGACCTCTCCATGCAGGAAATCAGAGGGGTGCCCCACTTCAAGAGCTCCTAATTCTATTGACTATTGTAGTTACAGATTTTTACCTGCAGCGGGTGATATCAGGTATTGTGGTACAATCTTAAACTAAATTTTTCTGTAGGTTATTATTATTTTTTTACAGGTATTTATTTAGCGCCATCAATTTATGCAGCGCTTTACATAGTGCACATTCACATCAGTCACTGCCCTCAAGGAGCTTACAATCTAAAGTCCCTATTGCACACATACACTAAGGCCAATTTAGACAGGAGCCAATTAACCTTCCAGCATGTCTTTGGAATGTAGTTGGAAACCGGAGTACCCAGAGGAAACCCATGCAAGCACAGGGAGAACATGTTAGGATCCCAATCTGCCAAGTTCCAAAAGTGCTGTGTAGCTGGAATACTGATATCGTTAATTAAGGTGCTCTAAGAATTGGGAACCCCTCCATATTAAGACATAAAGGGCCCTAAACGGGAATTTAAATTTTTCCCCTCAGTCAGCAGCAAAAACTGGTTTCTGTGCATTCTACCTTATGTGAAACAAGCAGGAAAGCAGTTATAAAAAAGATTTCTATTAGTGCTCTCATCGTTTTCAGTAAAGATGAAGAATATGTGCCAATATATTAGCCTTTTCTAATACTCATTATTTAAAACATTTGCTTGATAATCATACAGTGTGTAGAATAAACATTATTTTAACACAATATCTCAGAGCATCAGTGCCTGGCTGAAATACTGTGTTGCCATCCTTGTGTGAATTGCGGTTGTAGAGATTAGGATTTTCTAATAGTTTGCAGTGCACAGTATGTTACCATCGTATAAACTATGCTTACAATACACATGGCAAAACTAGGACTAGGCTGTCAAATCCGTTTCTAATGAATGACTATCTACCAAGTTTAATACATATGCAGAGATGACATGTTATTCTCTGTTTTTATCATGCTTACCTGGAGCTGGCTGGATTTTTCCCTGTTTACATCATATTTCACGCTGAGTCTTCCATCCACTGCAGTAGTTGGACAGGTGGGGCACTCACGCTGCTCATCAACAGTTGGCCTGAAGGATATGTGAGCCTGTGCCAGGATAAAATGTAATAAATAATTCTTAGTAACAATGATAGAAGGAATGCCAATGTGAATCTTCTTCTTTTTATTTAAATCCTTACAGACCTAATGCAATTGTATCTTACAATGTAGGTGACTTGGAAATATATATTAAACTCAAAATTTCATAGTTAATTATCAATTCAAATTTATTTTAAAATGAAGGTATACTTTTTACAAAACAATTCATTAATGACCAATTAAAAAAAAAAAACATAAAAAAAACTATTTAAAAACAGTTCTCTGCCCTGAAGATTTTTATATATGTCCAATTGATTAAATATCTATAATTGTCAGATATTAAACATTACACAACCTGGCAAAATCTCACAGGTTCTGACTGAATGACTGACAAGCATTTTTCTGCTTACAACAAAACGCTCAGGTGTAAAAAGAAGCCAAATAAATGAATTGGATTCCTTGTCTTGAGCATTTTGATTCGCTTAGCTTTGAGCTCCAAAATGCCTAGGCGTGAACGGGGACTAAATGTTGACTCTTCCACTTTTACTTTAGCGTTTAAACTTGAATATGTTATTTTTTTTAACCAAACCCTGGTGGATAGTTACAATATCCAAGACAAACCAGAAGTCTGAAGCCCCTAAATCTCAACTGGATAAAACATTGTTACCAGAAATTGGAGATAATTCAATTCTACTGGGCTATACAAAAAAAAGTCTACCAGGTGGGTTTCATGTTTTCTGAAGGCCAAAGCGCCAAAGGGAAAGCAGCTTGCATGGGTTTTGGAAAAACAACGTTAGAACTTAAAAGATGGGCAATCATCAAAACTCAACTTCACTACTACTTAGTTCTAAACTTGATTATGTGAAAACAAAGTTCAGATAAAGTAATAACCACATTGGGGTGGGTGTTGAATTTAGTAATTCTGTCACACAGCAAGGTAATGCTGAACATAAGCAGTGAAACAGATTTGTGGCCATATTTACGACAAGGTTACAGCTTTCTCCCTCACCTGCTCCAAAGTTGCACTGTGAGGGAATGAAAGCCAACTCTGATGATCATTTTTTTTGTGCATCTGTTTAGAGTGAAATTCTGTATTCTCAAAACCCTGGGAACCTGTCGCACTTGGTTGCCCAGGATTACAGATGTAGGGGGTGCAAATACTTAGTTGCATAGACATTGCTAAATGAGAGGCAGCCTGATTTGCATCTAATTGTGTCAATAATTTGCTTTATAAATTCCAATTTTTAAACAGTTTACGGTAGTCTGAATATTTTTTTTGATCATTGTCTAAGGGTTGACAGCACTTAAAGGAGAACTATGAGGTGAGTGAAAAGCACTCAGCCTCATAGTTCGAGCCGACGTGTGACAATGAAACTGTCACACGTCGCTCAATACAATGGGAAGTGAGCGAACACATACCGTCGCTTGCTCACTTCTTGATCCTGTCCCTGCAGAGACCTGTGACTGTCCCTCACGGCTCCCTGCAGGGATTCCCCCCCTCCCCTGTCCGATCCTCCAGCGCTGACTGGAGGAATGGACGGGGGAGGGGGCGGGTACAGCTGGCTCTGCCTCTAGATAGGCAGAGCCAGCTATCAATCACGCAGCTGGGTGGATCTCGACAGTAATGTCGGGACCCGTCGCGGCTGCGGCGGTCTCACTATACCGCGAGCTGCAGCTCGCGGTATATTGAGCTGTTGGTCACGGGAGGATGCTAGTTTGTGTCCTCCCGTGACCCTTAGGAGAACTATGGGGAAAAACACTGACCCCATAGTTCTCCTTTAAATAATTATATTTTGCTTGAATTACCAAAACTGAGTAGAGCTTGCCAAATACAGTGCTAGGTTAAAAATTTGATGAATTCAGGTATTACCTTCTTATCACTCTTGTCAACTTTAATGAGATTAGAAAATCTATCTGCAACTGTTTTTACCACATTAACAGTGCCTAGACCTTCTGGCTCTAAGATGTAGATATCCACCTAAAATAAATAACAGAAACCAAGTCAATTTCCATGTATTACCAATTACTAGCTGAATGCAGCCATCTGTTCTTACTTTCACAGGTTCTCTCACCTCAAAGTGTTTTGCTATTCTTCCTGGCTGCAGATAGAGCACATGTTCATAAGTCCCAAGTTTTCTCTGAAGGGCTTCTTGATAATTAATTTCAAACTGAACTTTGGTTCCTCCTGGCACATTTAAATCAGCTTTGAAGTTTTCCATATCAAGGGTATTAGTCCTGCCCATGACAATATTTAAGAATATCAACTGTAACTAATCAATCAGGGTTAATTAATAAAAAGAAAACAGAAGATTTTTATCCGGTACTATTATTGGAGCACTGTAATAGAGCCTGGACATAAATGGCCCTAAAAATATTATATTTAAGCTTATCAAATGCAATGAGACAAGATATTCTAAACGATTAAAATTTAGTAAGCTCTTTGACATACATCACTATGTGTAAATATTCTCATATTTCCACCCAACACTAATCATTTACTATTTCAGTTTATTGTCTTTCTTTAGGTAAACTGGAATGTTACTTAACCTAATGATCAGGAAAAGTGAGAGGTGTCAATTAATGAATTTACCCCATCCTCTAAAATCTTTTTACAGGCTACTATTATATCTTTTTACAGGCTAGGGCCTAACCTGTAAAAAGATATAATAGTAGCCTGTAAAAAGGGGTCAGCAACCTTAAACACTCAAAGAGCCATTTGGACCCGTTTCCCACAGAAAAGAAAATACCGGGAGCCACAAAACCTTTTCGACATCTAAAATGAAGATAACACTACATATATTGTTTTTTTAGCTTTATGCTATATGTATAGCATGTATATAGGTATATGTGTGTGCTTAGTAACGCACTGGACTCTGGGCTTAGTAACGCACTGGACTCTGACCTTAGTAACGCACTGGACTCTGGGCTTAGTAACTCACTGGACTCAGGGCTTAGTACCGCACTGGACTCTGGACTTACCTGAGACCCCACAGAGCCCACCTGAGAGTGACCCTGCAGAGCACACCATAGATCCTTCACAGCCCATCTGAGATTCTCTATGGTGGGCTCAGCAGGGCCTCAGGTGGGCTGGTCGCCGGGGTCCATTACCCTGTACCTCCTCCCAACTCCTCTTACCTGCTGCTGCTGGGGCCTGGCCCCCCATGCTGCCCAGACTCCTTGCCGTACATAATGGGGGTGTTCTATCAAAGTTTGTGACTACGTTACAATGTGTGACTGGTGACGTGGTCACACATTTCAATGTAATCCCGCCCAGTTTTCTGGCGGTAGAATGTGTGACCGCTAATAGGTCAAGCATTTCAATGCTTTGTCAGCTGTTCCAGGGCAGATCGGCATTGCAGATCGTCTGTGCAGGAGAACTGATCTGCCCTGAAACAGCTGTTCGGTCCTGAAATGTCACTTCTATCTGACTTTGTGAGTACAATCTCACATTCCACACCACTCACAGAGTCGGATAGAAGTGACATTTCAGCTGTTCCAAGGCAGATCAGTTCTCCTGCACATACGATCTGCGATGCCGACCTGCCCTGGAACAGCTGACAAAGCATTGGAATGCTTGACCTATTGGCGGTCACACATTCCACCACCAAAAAACTGGGCGGGATTACATTTAAATGTGTGACCACGTCACCGGTCACACATTCCAACCTAGTCACAAACTTTGATAGAACAGCGGACCTGTCTAATCATTTAATCAGAAATTATAATAGTGTAATGTAATGTTCCCCATTATAACTTTCTGAATAAATGAAATAACAGCGCACAGTGTGCAGTTACACCCGTACCCCCCCTTCCCCCTGCTCCTCATTCGGTTTCACATGCCAAGCCTCACAGCCAGCATCCCAGCCAGACGGTGTGCACTGCAGGGGGCAGGGCATGTGACACACAAGCGGCGGGAGAGGAGGTGAGTCACAGGACACGCCCCCTTGCTGAGAAGCCCGTCGGCAGGCCCCGGCGGTAGTTCCGCCCCTGGACAGGGAGCTGCAGCAGAGGGATGAAACAGCCACATGCGGCTCCGGAAACCGCGGGTTGCTGACCCCCGGACTAGGCCATATATTTGTTTATCTTTCTTTAAAATACATGTGAACCCTAACCTAATATAATTTAGTTTGTTAAAGCATTTTATTTTCAATGTATATTATTTTTAATCCTTTGTTCCATTTCAGCACTGCTAATCTCCTGCAGCCTCCTAGCAGAAGCTTCCTGTCTACAGACATGTACTCCAGTAATTGCTGCATGCCATTTTTCAGGGTGGGTTTGCTGATCATGACAACAATAGAACATGCCGGCGCAATGTACTTCACCATGGCTGCTGGTAGTCTCCCTTTTACAGAATGTAACAGAGTGACATCACAGGGGTAAATTGAGGCACAGGGTAGAGCACTGTCACCCTATAACAGGAAGTGCCTGAAAAAGAACCTTCATGGCAGTATTAAAGATATTGTTTAATGAAAGATTCAGATTTGATAGTTTTTAAAATAATTGCAACAACATGTTAAAGCTTATATGACATTTTAGTGATTGGGTTTACATCTATTTTAATTTCCATAAGCCATGTGTGGAACACTCAACATGCTGGTCATGTAGTGACCCCTGGACCCACTAATGTGTTTAAACATCCTCCATCCTCTGGCTATGATTGTAAAATGTATAAGGCTGTAAAAAAGTGAAGAATAATAAGCCAAGTAACACATAGAAAACAACCAGAACCACCTACTAGTAATTTGACTATGCTAAATTGTTAAACAAAAATTGGAAGTCCGGGTCTTCTGCAGGAGCAGCACAGAAATCTTTTGACTGGCTAAATGTCATTTTTTATTGTTGCTGAGTTCAAACCTTGGGAGCTTAAAGATAAGTCAAAAATAAGTTTCATTAGGATGTTCAAAGCTACTGACCTTAGTAAACCTGCAGATTTTCCTCTTGCTCTTGCTTTAGCATACAAACCTCTTGCCTCGGACTTCTCTTTTATTGAGCCACTAAATGTAATGCCATTAACATTCCTTAAAAAGAAAAAATATTTAGACTGTATTATTATGGGAATATAGTCTCTCGGTTATTGATCATATACAGTTATTCAGAAATGATTTCCAAAAACTGTCAAATACAGTTAAATCTATATTACTGATGATGCTTCATGTAATGTTATTAACCATCCCTCCCTTCAGATTTGGTGATCTAACCCAACAGCAATATTGTCTTTATCTGCTATTAGACAACATTCTATGTTACATCAAACTTATGGTGTCATCATCCCCAAGTAAGCCTTACAATGCCATTTAAATGGTCCCAGTAGTTAGTCTTTTCCATGCTTTTTGAACATATTTATACACACACACACAACAAATTTTATAGATCTATCTATCTATCTATCTATCTATCTATCTATCTATCTATCTATCTATCTATCTACAGTATATATGTATAATGATCTGTTTACAGTGCTACACAATGGTTATGCTTTACTGCTCCTTCTTACAATGCAAATAAATTAGTTGGCTGACTCATTAAATACAACACACTCCTTATGTGGTTTATATCTTGAGGCTGATTTTCTAAAGGAAATGAGAATCCTCACACAATAAATTGTGCCACTATTCACTTTAGTTATCCATTTGTTTTGCGGATAAAGAAAACAGGAATTTGCTTTTTAAATGATTGTGAATATTCCCAACTCCTTTAGGAAATTAGCCTCCTTATCTCAGTAGCTGTTTAGAATGGGGGCAGTGTGACTGTTCCCTCTACAGGCTAATCTATAGATTACCATTTAATACAAAAACAATAGTATGGAAAAGCTACCATGTACAAATGTGAAAGTCACTCTGCCCCTGGTTACATCTCAAATCTCATCTCATAGTATCACCCAAAGCGCCCTCTCCGCTCCTCCCAAGACGACCCCCTCTCTAGTTCCCTCATCACCTCCTCCGTGACTTCTCCAGAGCCTCTACCACCATCTGGAACTCCCTGCCACAACCTATCCGGCTATCTCCAACTCTATCCGCCTTTAGCCGATCTGTGTAGATTGCAAGCTCTCACAAGCAGGGCCATTTAATCCTTTTGTATGGCATTGTATTGTAATTGTACTTGCTCCCTATATTGTGTACATAGTTTGTGCTCAAAACTGTTGGCGCTATATAAATCCTTTATTATTATTATAATAATAATAATAACTATGATAAAATAGCTTCAAAAAGAATCTTACATAGTAAAATTATTGATAAATGCCCCTTTGGGAATCTGAATATCGAATGAGAGACTCTGTGGATATGAAGCAGTGTTCACCACTTTGCTCTGTATCATGGTATTGACGAAATGTGATGTGATGGTGGATTCTACTTTGTAGCTGTACAGAGAGATTGAGTCCTTGGATGGAACCTGTAAAAACAAAGACATATTGTATTTCAGAATATACTCATGCTGAGAGGGTAAATGGAAACTAAGGGGTCTATGCACGAAGCTGCTGAAGGATCTGGCCGTAGCTTCGGCCGATCCTTCGGCTAGCTTCGGCCCCAGGACCCCTTCGGTTCAGTAGAACCGAAGGGTTGCCGTACGGGCTATTCACAATAGCCCGTACAGCTCCCGATCACGGCTGAGCCGTGCTGAAAGCCGAAGCTGGCCGAGCGGCCGGCCATTGGCCCGCAGACAGCCTGCTTCTGACAGCTGGGCGGAGCCAGCCGTGATCTTACGGTTGGCTCCGGCCACTTGCAGTGAGATCAGCGTCCCTGATTGCTTGCTAACCAGGGACACTGATCTCCAAACAGCTAACTCTCCCTGGCACCCCGGGAACGTTTCCATAATCACATTGTATAAACTGCCCTTGTAAATAGTGTAATGTGTTTAGTGACCCCCGTATCTGAGTTTCCTGTGGAGAAATATTTCCATTTCTAGGATTCAGGCCTACTAAAAAAGTCAATAAAAAAAAAAAAAAGCCAGCAATGTAAGTCAAGAAAATGTGCACACATCATCAGTGCACCTCTACATTACCACAAATAATGCTAACCACTAAATCACAAAGGTGGCAATGGGCTTTAAGGGGTGTGTTATTAAACAATTTGCAGAGCCATTTATGCTGTGAGATTGCTTGTATGTTCTTTCTGTGTAAATGGAGGCAATAACGAATGTTATTAGCATATTTTCTTTCCAAATCCAATGTAGTTCCAGCTATATACTGCATTATGGCCACTAGATGGAGCTGAGGAGTGTGGGGAAGAATTATTTACTTCCCATGCTTGTTAGCTCTATCTAGGCCATAATGTGATATTTAACCAATATTACATATAATCTGGAAACAAAATATGCAAGTAACATTTGTTTGTACCTAGATTTGCACAGAACGAATGTACATGCAATTTCACAGGGCAAATATGAATTGTTTATAAATACACCTCTTAAGTGTATGTTGTCTGTTGCCAGAAACGTTGACTACTTTGGGTTATAAATGTTTACTATCTGATCTCTACTATGGTCAGTTTCAGAGAGATTTCCTCCTGCAACTCTTTGATTTTCAAATTTCACTGGCAGCATCATCTAATGGGGACATTGGTATAGTGGCACTATTTGCCAGTGTTCCCCATTTATGGGCAGTATTAAGACAACCAAGTTCATCAAACCACAGTAGGACAGAGGTCCCTCTACTGTTTACTAGGGGATTGTGAGAGATGAGGACTCGTCAGAGTTAAAACACAGAGCTTCCCCAATTTTCATTTGTCTTCAGACTCTTTAAAACTGGTTTTATTATTATTTACATTGTTTTCATAGATCAAACAGATGGCTAGATAGACTAAAGTATGTTATTTGATGTTTCGCATCTTCTCCCTGCAGTATTTACTCACTACCATACACTGATTCAATAGTCTTCCTTGTTGATGGACAACTTTTTTCCCTGTGGCCAGTGTCATTGACCTTGCAGTCACAGAAACAGCTAACGGTTATCTTACATTGACCTTGCATGCTCAGCAGTAATACATACCTCTAAACCATCATCTCCAAATGTCAGACTCCTCTGTAAGAAAAGAAAACAGATTCAATATATATATTTATTTCTAATTTTTTTGTAAAGAAAACATGTTTGTAAATTACAGTTATTCCAGTTTGTATATTACAAACATATCTATGTATTTACTACATAGTTGTACATACAAACCATATTATAATCTTGATGCCATGGGTAACTATAAAATATGATTGATGTTATTAAAGAGATCAAATGGGTCACAGCACAATTTGTTTTCCATACATCGGTGTGCGTGTGACATGTTGTAGTAAACAAGGTGAGATTGAGAGGTGTAAATATTGCAATGATTTATGCTGATCCCTTCCCCAGCAGAGCCTACAATCCAATGTCCCCTCTACACACATGCATGCACGCACGCACACACGCACACACACACGCACCATTTTGAGGAAGCCCAAAGAAATGATGAGCATAAAAACAATGCACTCTATCCACCTGCCTACAGCACTCAAGAGTGCTTAATCATAAGGCATATGATTAAGCACTCTTCAGTTCAAAATGCAGCAATGTGCTAGCGGACACTTATTGTGTCTTTAATCTTCAAAAACCCTTTGAGTGCTGTAAACCTTTTTCTGGACATTTCTTCATCCGGTTTGCATTCTAAGATTGCTTTGTGTGCATGTATTAATATGAGACATTTCTGTTTATTTGTGTATTGTATTCAGAAAATGATGTGTTACTATGTTGGTTAGGTGCAAATACCTCCCGTTGCAGATAGAGTAACAGGCCTATTTTCTATCCTTTGTTTCACCTTGGAAATTCATTCAAATAATCATAAGTAAGTGAGTCCATGTAAATGTATTGTCTTGAGGAATGACAGACCCATCCACCTACATGATTTATTTTTTGTGAATAGGTTTCAGCACAGTATCACTGGGAAAAATAATATTCATTGTAGAAACTGCAAAAGTAAAGTAAGCTACCCGTAATTATAAGTAGAGTAGGAGTGGATGACTGATTACTTTAAAAATCATTATTTGTTTGAAGCCGCGTCCTACACAAAGCGCTGTATTGCCAGCGTTGTAGGGATGTCACATACCCACCCCCCTCCTCGTCCATCCAGAAAAATCTTGTATTTTCTCATAGAATGCAATGCGTCTTGTGAAGGATGGAAGGGAGTTTCAGTTGCATACTCATGCCTCCTCTCCCCTCTTTTCTCCTCATCTATAGGCTGACCATATGCTCCATTTTAAACGGAACAGTACCGTTATTACTTAATTTTTACCCTGTCCCGCAGCTTCTTTTATAAAATCCATTTTGTCCCGTTTTCCTTCTTAGGAGTGCACTCTGAGGCTGTGCGCCTCTTAATGAACTAATGAACGTAATTAACTTCTACATCAATGCGGCTAGCCGTTCTCATTAAGAAGGGGCACAGAGCGCACTCCTAAGAAGTCTCCGCTGCCGCTTATTCTTCCTCCGCAGAAGCACTGACAGGGGGGAAGTTACATATAGGCGCACAGAGTGCACTCTGCGCCTATACGTAACTTCATCCCAGTCAGTGCTGCCACGGAGAAAGAATAAGCGCTGGCGGGGACTTTAGGCAGCCATTTTATATGATCAACAGCAGAGCTTTTATCTCAGCAGGGGAATGCTCCAGAGTGTTAAGAAATGTCAAGGTTAATGGCATAGTTCTTTGCTCCTCAGACTGACACAATGAAAGGATATGAGGCACTATAGAAAGGGGGAAAGGTGCAGAAAGAATGCCCTGCATTGTATGAGTTGTGTCACTGAAGAATAATTGTTGATTATTGAGATGTGCATTTGGATTCAGACGAACTGCCAAATCAACGCATTTCTATCAATTCGGCCTTTCATCTGAATCCGAATTACTATTGTACGGGCGCCGCCATCTTGGTGCATCTGAGGTCACGTAAGAAGACACACCACCCTCTTGGGTGCACCATGATATTGGCGCCCACTGTTTCGTATGGATGCATCGGCGGTCAATGTGGCCGCCAGCACATTTTTTTTTCAATGTGCAGTTTTGGATTTGGAGGTTCGTTCCTTCGAATCCGAAACAGCATAATAATTAATTTTGTCCACACCTTTATGCTGTACACATCTACTATATTGTCATAAAACCTTTGTTATCATCTTACTTTTTCATGAATATGGAATATTAAAACCGTCCTGTTTTTTGCCATCCCAATGTCCCGTTTTTGTCTCAAGGAAATATGGTCAGCCTACTCATCTAGGAACTAGAAGCTGGGAACAATAACCATTACAATGACTTTCAAAATGAATCCGTGCTTTGTTTAAGCAGGGCAAAAAAACAGAAATACTTGAATGCTCTACCAACAGTGTAATGTTCAATTCTACCTTTTTTTATTGACAAATGGAGAATTAAGGCCATTCACAACTCTCACTGAAGATTTTGTTCACTTCCAGAGTACAGGTTGGCCTATTTTTAACTCAGGAACTTTTACAACACCTTACGGCACAAATGCTCATTATATAGGCCTCTTACCTCTTTCAAAACCTAGTGCATGCAACAAGACAGCCATGCAATCTCTGCTTCTACACTAACTCTTTGCCTATCAAACCTATCCCCTAGCTTACCTTACTACATGACAGAATGGGAGAGGGAACTTGATGCACCCTTCCAGAGTACAATATTTCCAAATAATTTCTACGAACATATAAGCTTTCTGGGGCTAGCTGTATACAGGAGAGGAACTTCAGATGGTTTCACAAACTGCCTTCCATCTTCCCTTAAGTTCCTGAAGCGTGCTGGACATGTCCCACTCAATTGGGCATGATGCTACACATATGATGGACTTGCTTAAGGCTTGCTACCTTTTGGGCCACGTTTTTTGACACATATGACCACTTAACATCTTCTAATAAGCGACAATCTCCACAACTTGACTTACATTCTATACTCTCCTGATCCATAGCTTTATCCAGGAAAAGTTTACTACAGGTGTTAGAAATGAGTTGTGATGCAGTAGAACATCCAAGGGTTCTACATTGTGTAAAATTAGGTGTAACAATCATGAACATAGCAAAGCTGGTGCTTGATTGTTACATCTAATTTTACACAATGTAGAACCCTTGGATTTTCTAATGCATCACAACTCATTTCTAACACATGTTAGCCCCACAATAAGCACATTTAACACTGCTTTACCATCGTGACCATGGCTGCTATTGGGCCACCCCCATGCCTCCTCTCAGGACTCACTCCTCCATTATCCCTTCTACTTTCTCTCCACCCTTCTCTCCACTCCCCGTCTCTCCACCCCCCTTCTCTCCACTCCCCTTCTCTCCACTCCTCTACTGCTGGACATCCGGCCCTTAAATGCTGTTATGTGGGAACCACCCTTCTCCAGACTTATATGATGAGCAACACCTGGGGAATGTCAATTTTCAGCAATCCGTTGTTGGCTTGTGTGCTACACCAAACTATTACAGTTGGGGTATAGTCCTTTTTTAAATTCTATTTAATTTCTATTAAATAGAATACATTCTGTTTACCTCATGCCATAAAGATTTCCAAATGTTAACTGCTCTTACTGTAAAGAACATCTTCCTAAACCATTTGTAGAATCATCTTTTTTTTTAATGCACAACTGATGCCCTCTTGTCCCTTTTACAGTCATTTTGTGACAGTGGTAGTCTTAAATCCCACCCATAAGTATGTAATGTTTGCATTCTCAGCTACACCCTTCAGGACAAAGATCAAAGATTGCAGTGCCAACAGACTGAATGTTATTGTCACTAGGGTCAGTTAACTCCGCAATTAACCCTTATGCATACAAACAATAACTACCACCATGTGTTTTAACTAGGTATGCACCAATGCCGATACTAGTATTGGTATCGGTGCCGATACTGTGTATTTGTTCGAGTACTTGTACTTACCCAAATGCTCGGATACTTACCTCCGATACCGGAACTTCCGGTCACAGGGAGATCTCCCTCTGACTGGCAGTACCGAGGGAGCATGGAGCTGGCTTCCTTTCCAATAAGGAAGCCAGGTCGTGGTTTATGACCTGCTGTAACGGCTGCCGCCGTCACCTGCGGGCAAGGAGGGAGGAAGCGGCGGCCAGCCGCTCCTTTGCTGGGTCGATTGCGTTCCAGGGGGGAGCGCACGCTCCTCATTTCCGGGTTTCGGGACCGCGTGCGTTCCACCGTGGAACGCGGAAGTGCGCCGATACGTCCCTCGGCTCCTCCTATCCATCAGTGGCCTATTTAAACGCCCAGTTGAGACAGCATGGCGTTCCAATATTGAGCCAGAAACGCCTGCTGTCTCCTGGGACCCTCCACAAGCCTCCAGATTGTGCCCTCCAGCATACCCCGGATCCGGATACCACCCAGGAGCCCCTACTGCTCCCATTGTGACACATCTACAAAAGCGCAAGTACTCTAAGTGCAGTTGCACCCCATCCTCAGCTGGACTGTTATAAAGTATTACCTGCATAGGCTTAAGGTTACATTGGGGGTTTGTACTTTCACCAGTTTGGGTATAGCTCATTAGACTGCATTTATACTCTTAATTATCATTTGCCACTGCTTCTCAACCTATTTTGCATAGTTAACCCCATCCATTAACCATATAAATTAAACTGAGGCTGTGATGCGAGGAACTCTAACTCTCTGTTAAAACTGAGAGAGTGAAACCAGAGTTCCAACCCTGAGAAGCCTCCGCAGCTGCGATCCACGCTACTCCAGTCCGTAAAGGCGTTACACCTGCCTCCTAGCTTCCTGATTGGCTAGGAAGCTGACTACACTTGTTGATAGGCAGCCTGGATTTCTAACCAATCAGGAAGCCAGACGGCACATAATGACCTGGCTTCCTGATTGGTTAGGAAGCCAGGCTGCCTAGCAACAATTTAAAAAGGCTTCCTGACCGATCAGGAAGCCAGGTAGCCCCGGCAAGTTAAGCTGGTGTTCTTTCAATAGAACATCATCTTCCCAGGCAATCAGGAAAGGTCATGACATGCCGCCCGGCTTCCTGATTGGCTAGGCAGCCTGCTTCACTTGTTGCTAGGCAGCCCGGCTTCCTGACTAATCTGGAAGCTGGACAGCACCTTATGACTGGCCGCCCGGCTTCCTGATTGGTCAGGAAGCCAGGTAGCCCCGGCAAGTTAAGCTGGTGTTCTTTCAATAGAACATCATCTTCCCAGGCAATCAGGAAGCAGGTCATGATCCACGACCCGACTGCCTGATAATCAGGGCACACGGCACCGGAATTGGTACTCTGTATTGGCAGGTACCAAAAAAAACCTTGTACTCGCTACTGAAAAAACGATATCGGTGCATCCCTAGTTTTAACAAAGACACACAGCGTTCACAGTATCTATTATAACATTCACAGCATCCATTACAGCTATCATATATAAGAAAATCAGGAGTCAAATCTTAAAAATGCATTCAAGTACCCTAACTATTAACAAAAATGTAGCTTATTTGTGTATCACTCAGCTGTAGATCCTCAAATCATCTCTGAATTCATACTGACACTGTCCTTCCTTCTTGAGGGTGACTACTTTTGTTCCCTATATGTGTTGTAAAGTAGCCACCTCTCCATGCTCACTCTCGTGATGGACTACAATCTCACTTTTAGTTTACCAATTTGTATTGAGACTGTAGTTCATCACAGGGGTGAGCTTGGAGTGTTGGCTACTTTACAATACACCCAGAGACCATTAGGAACAAAAGTGGCCACCTTCCAGAAGTAAGGACAGTGTCAGCACCAATTCAGAGATGGTTTGAAGAGTTAAGGTACTTGAATGAACTTTTAAGATTTAACTCCTGAGTTTAGTTTAACTTTTAAGTTACAGCATGACTCCCCATTTGTAAGTGTGTGTTGGAACAGTGAAGGGTGAGCTGACAGTCTGAGTAAGGAGAGTAGTAGGTTGCTATACAATGTTACACTGTGCTTTATTGGGCTAAAAACTTCTGGACTGCAATGTGGTGGGCTTCATATCCATGTGTGCCACACAGGACTATCTTTTTGTGCATGTCAGCAACAGCTGTAGTTGTTTAGCTGCTGTGACCCTCCACCCATCCCCATCCCCTGCAGGCCTTTATTGTGTGTTTTATTACATTTTTAAAACGTTGTCAAATTTAAATTTTACAGTAATTTGCCTATTATTGGTTAATTATTATTTTACAGTAATTTGCCTGTTATTTTTGGGTTTGCTGAATTTCAAACAGAATTCTCCAAGCCCCCTGCAAATTAAACCCTGGGCATATGTGCTTATCCATAGTTAATATTTAGAGTTAGGTTGAACTGTGAACACTAATAAATACTTATATTTTTATGGGCAAACATACAAAAACAAAACAGAATACTGACATTTTTCCCTTTAACCAATAACTGCTATCATTTTCCCATGCATTATAGAGAATGCAGCAGATGGCCCGAGATTCCATGGTGGGAGCATAAAAAGATTTACAGTTTATGAACAGCAGCACTGGAATGCCTGAACAATGTAGGACGCTTACAAGTCGACTAACCAATAGCAAGATGAAAGTTTTTGATGATTGTCAGTTTAGAGTGGGGTCATATGGGCAACAACTTTTGCTCCATTATTATTATACAGGATTTATATAGTGCCAACAGTTTGCACAGCACTTTACAAAATGGGGGAGACAGTACAGTTGCAATACAATTTACAATACAATTTCAGTATAATAGGGTTTAAGCTGGCCATACACCTATAGATTATCTGCAGATTTTCTATGGTCAGATAGAAAAAGTGCAACAGATTCCTCATCTATGCTAAACTGTGTGGATGGAGGAATCTCCCACTGGGCCAAGCTTCAGTATCTTGCTAGTCGGCCCCGCTGGCTCTCAAAATACCTGAACAATGTCTGCATCCAATCAGATTGACAGCCAACGGGGCTGACTAAAGGTGGGCAGCGTAGGAAATAGGAGGACAGATTGGGGTAAGGAGTTACAGAGGATGGGAGACACTATGGAGAAGTCCTGGAGGCGGGTATGGGAGGAGGTAATTAGAGAGCACGAGGTCTTGAGAGGATCGGAGAGGACAATTTGGGTGATATTTTGAGTTGAGGTTGCAGATGTAGCTGGGGGCAGAGTTGTAGATGGTTTTGAACGTTGTTGTTAATATTTTGCATTTTATTCGTTGGGCAATTGGGAGCCAGTGGAGGGATTGGCAGAGTGGAGTGGCAGACACTGAACAGTTGGTAAGGTGGATGAGTCTGGCATGATAGACTGAAGGGGGATAGTCTGTTTAGTGGTAGGCCAACAAGGAGGGAGTTGGCATATATGGAATTTGTGCTGCTGTATTAATCAATACTGAAAATATTTATTTCCAGTGTTTCTAGAATATTAATCATTTCAACACATCTTATTTTTAAGGTTTTTGAACCCGTGCTACCATAAATATGTGATCACTGAAATGCCATTCCAGGTGTAAGGAGACTTTCCCTGCTGAGTCCCTGCTAGATGTGTGCAAAACAACAGTTCTGCTCATGGTGGCAAAGATCAGATCTACAACTCAACCACTATTTGTTTGCTTAACAAATGTTGCAATTTTGTGAGGTTGAGCTTTATTGGTTTCAAAAGACCATTTAATGGAGGAGAACATGATGTGAAACATGCTTGTGATCTTACACATCTTATCATGCACAAAAATTCTAGGTACTGTTTGCTTTAGTTTCCAGTTCCTCTTTCACAATAATCCATCATGTGGACTGTGCATTTTGTGTCGATATTTACAAAAACTAAATTTCTTCCTGAGATACACAGACCAATGTACACTGTGATATAAGTTCAAGACCAAACTATACAGGACATTGTGCAAGCTGGTTTATTTGCACATCAGCAAATAGAAGTTCATACTGTGTTATTCAGGTTAAAGATTACAATAAAGCCTCTAAAGTGCATAAGAACTTTCTTAAATGCGTTTTAATCCTTGTGTAACTCTTTCTCATAGGTAAAGCTATAGATAAAGGCAAATAAATTGCTAATTTTGGAACAATAAGCTTAAATCTCTCAAATATAACTCAGTGGGGGAAAATTCATGAAAACTGGAGCATACAGTTTTCTTATGGCAACCAATCAGCTTCTCTCTTAAGTTTGTTCAGTTAAGCTTTGAAAATGAGAGAGAGAAGCTAATTGGCTGCCATGGGCTACTGCTCCAGATTCCGTTGGTTCCAGTTTTATGCTCATTATTTGCTAGAATGATTGTTATTGTTTTAGCTGTCATTGGCTTTTACTGTAGAAAACAAAATGTGATATTTTAAATAATACTACTACAATGTACTATAGCTCAGTAAGCAGAAACAAGTTTGAGCATTAAGCAAAAAACTTTCTGTAATGGAAGAGCTGTTTAGATCTCTTAATATAACCTATTCAAACTTTTGTCTAAATTTATAAAGCTGGGGGGGGGTGGGCTGCTGATAAGAAAATTAGCCAATCCCCTTAACTAGTCACTAAAATTAATTTCATTGAGATCCTTGGGAGTTTTATATATCCCTGCCCCCTGTTTTCTATGACTTGTTAAGAAGGAGGTCTATAAAGAGTCTATTTTTCAACACTTCGGCTGCATTCACACCTAAGCATGAGGATAGCCAGGTGATTTAGAGGTAATTCATGCACGTATGTACATGCATTTTTCAAGTGTTTTTTCAATGAACTGCTTGCAGTATAGGGGCAGGACTGAGTGTTTTTGGCCCATAGACTTTTACATGGGAAAGCCAGAAAAACACATGTAAACACAGGCTTTTCAAGAGTTTTTCAGGCACTTCCAATATCGCAAAAGTCTATAAGGCCAAAACATTCAATTCTGCCTGAAAAGAAGCTCATGTACTTTTTAGAGGTACATGTGGTTCACTTCGAGCGACATAAAGTTCAGCTGTGAACAGGGGTCATTAAAAACAATGGGATTTCTTCTTGATGAGTGCTGTAGTGCTTTGGCAGTTGAGCTATAAAACATCTCGGTGGGAACGGGGCCTCAGGTTAAAGTGTACATCAAACCTTTATTCTAGTTCTGGATAAATGACTATCCAAAGCTCCCTTACAGAGGTTTTCCCTTCCTTTTTTGTCAACAATGATTTTACTTGAAAGAAAGTATGAAAACTCTACAACAGGGAACATGCATTTCCCCTCTCCTTATCTTAGTTATAGTAGGGGGGTTACATGTAGTTCCCAGAAGCTGGGAAAGCTGGTAACATTTTTCACAAAGTTACAAGGACACTGGAATTCTGGCACTATCTAAAAGGTATTTTTCTATAGTGGCAGAAAATGTACTTAGCTTGAAAAATGAAAACTAATGCAGCCACATACAAGGACTGGCAAGTTGCAATGTATTACAATTTTGTTCTTGCGTTAAGATATGCCAAGAGTGCCAATACTTATGAAGCTTTGACACATGTAGACAGCATGTGGCGCTAGGTCATGAGGTTGGAGACACAAATCATTTCCTAAATATGAATTGTAGGCAGATATAAAGATTACTTATTTAATTTACATTTACCTTTATTCTGTCCTTTATATGGGGTTCCAACTCATCCATGAGTTGACCAAGATCCTAAAAGAATACAAAGACAAAAATTTAGAGTTAGTCCTGTTTTCCAGAGCATACAGTAACATTTACCAGCATATATGTTGTAGTTACTTAGAAAATTTAAGTCATGTACCATAGCAGCTGTATCATACATCTAAAATGGGGCTCCCCCAATGTGCTAAGTTATTAATGTTTAACAAAAATCCTTGAAAGGAAAAAAAAACCTCTAAATAATGTCAAAGGGAAGAGGTCTACTATGTCAGATCCCCCTCTATGTTTTATAGCTGATACCTGGGTGCATTAAAGTGACACTAATCTCAGGAGTTAACTCTTAAAAATGCTTTCAAGTACTTTAACTATTAACAAAAATGTATCTTATTTGTGTATCAGGAGGAGAACATGCAAACTGCATTCAGATAACCAAGACCTGGAGCTGCAAGGAAAGACTACCACTAAAGCTATCCTATTACTAATTCACACCTATTTATTATGATGCATTTAGGTTTGTTGTGAATTTCAGACTTATTATTATTATATTATAAATTATATTATTATTCCTAATACAAATCACAGCTATGTACATGTTATATGGAAATTGCACCAAAGAAAAAATATATTTTATTAGTATTATATTGTGCCCACATTTACTTGACATACAGGTCACGTTGGCCCTCAATCTCTCAAAAATATTTGAAGCCTCATATTTAGGTTTTGTTGTTTATGAAAAAAAAAATACCCACAATAGTACAACATCAGTATGACATGGCTGTGCATAGCAATCTAGTTCTGAAAGGCATAATACTTTACACACAAAGATTTGTTTCTGATAGAAACATAGAAGAGTGTTGGCAGCAAAATACCAAGTGGCCCACCCAGTCTGCCCCTTTTTGATTTTGATTTTCCTTTTTTTAACATGTGTAGAACTATTTTTTTTTGTGTCCCAAGTATGTTTAAATGCACTCACTGACTCACTAGGTTTGCTGGATGTCTGTTCCAAGCATCAACTAGTCTTTTGGTAAAATAATACTTTGTACAGAAAGAGTTGAGATGATGCTTGGAAAAGGTAACCTCATTTTTTCTGGGAGTCAGTATTATGATGGGTGGTAGGCCTGACTGCATTTACTTAAGAGATCAGTGAAGAACAACAGAGGTCTGTGGTCTAGTATGAAACTTTTGTTGAGGTATATGTCAATCTGGTGTGTTCCACAATTTACATGCACTCAAAAGAATTGTAAACAAACCACTGCCTTATAATGATTTTGGAAAGCAATTTAAATTAATCATTACTTCAAGGAGTTGGGTTTAGAATACAACACTAATAAAGTGTCTAAATGTTTTTGTTAGTAAATAGCCACACTCGGGGGGTGGGGGGGATTTATCGAAACTAGAGCAGACAAAAACTCGAGCAGCTGTGCATGGCAACCAATCAGCTCCTCTCTTCAGTTTGTTCAGTGAAGATTTGAAAATGAAAAAGAGAAGCTCATTGGTTGCCATGCACAGCTGCTCCAGTTGTTGTCTGCTCCCACTTTGGGGGAGCAGACAAAGTGGGAGCAGACAACAACCGACTCTATTCTATGTATATAAGAACATTAAAAATGTGTCTTTACCCTGTTGTAATTCCTTTTAAAGCAACCTGTCAGGATATCTATTACCTATCATAGCTAATGTTTCCATCCAGAAGTAGAGGCCATCATAGCTCATCTGTGGACTTCAGCTCTAGATCCTGGGCATTTGTACCACTGCCCATTATGCATTGTGCATGTCCTGCCCTATAACTAGTGCTACTTCCAAATGTGCCACAATGCCAGCTAGGGCAGACTGGATACCTCACTGGCCACTGGTTCTACAGCTGTCCCAACGGACTTTCTTTAATTGGCAGTAATACTCCAATGCCTATAGCACCAGAGAAAGATTTAATTTCTCTGACTATCCTAAATTGTTCATTGCTGATTGTTACCCCGTGAGCTACGTTATTATAGTCCACATGTGTTTCAGCATTTAAATATTAAAAAATATATATAACGTATATGAAAAATAAAAGTATAATTAAAATAAAAATCAACAACAAACAATTATGAGTGTGGGTAAGGCTGCAATTGTGCTAAATGCCTTTTCCAAGTTAGCACAGAAGTCTTACCATTTATAAGAAGGTCAGGATTACCTCCAGAACCAGGCTGGCTTAAGTTGCCAGAAGATGGTGGGTAGACATCAAGCTAATGCAGGGTTTCCCAAAGTGGTTCAGTTGCCATGGGCCCATGGGACTACCCAAGGGCTGCATGAAATGGCTGGGGGTCAATAAATGATGGCAGGTTGATTAAGGTCAGTTTATATTTTGAGGTCGCTGTAGAGCTACACGAGTATTAGGGCAATGTAAATACTGTTGTTAAAGACCCCCAGCTATTTAGTGGTTAAGCCATTTCTACCTGTTTTCCAAATGTGTACATTGTTGAAACTGGTTTTAGCCATGCAAATGCAACTCGAACTAAGCTGTAAGCCTGTAAGGGAGTCACTTATGACTAAAACTCACCAATCCACAACCAAATATCATTGCCCTTATTGATGCTCATGAGATGGAGTCTACCATTAAATCCTATAATTTTCATATTTGAAATGTTAACTTTGTAATGTTATTATTATTATTATTATTATTATTATTATCATCTATTAAGATACTACTAAAAAGTATTTAACAAATTATGTTCATATTATAAATGTTTGAGGATCAATTAACAATCTGAAACTCCATAAAGGGGTCAGTGAGCTGAAGAGTTTTGTGACCCCTGAGCTAATGTAAACCCTTAGAATATGCAGTCTGGGCCTTGGTAATTATGGTCTTTATCAACTACACTCATCATAGCATTTTACACTTTGCAAATAATAGTTTATAAAGTGACCTGGAGCAGGTAATATTATTCCATGGCAATAGATGTAAACACTTATTCAGGTACTTGCCATAGAAATAGCTCAATACATGATAACCTATCACTCTGTTTATCCACACCAGACTATAGACAATGATGCCATTCATTAAAACAAAAGCCATTAGGCCTGATTTTAAAATCCGAGTACATGCATACAGTAGCTTACACTAAATGGTTTAGATAGAAAAGAGAATGCAAATTGTACAGCAATACTCACAGCAGCATCGGGGAACTCCTCTATGTACAGATCAAATCCCCTTATTTCAGCAGAGAATAAAAGCAACAAAAGATAAAGGAGATTCCCCATGATTTCCAATTGCCAGCCAGAGATCCCTCTGGCCTCCAGCAATAAAACTTTCTTCAAATGAGGAGAAAGATGCTTTCCAGTGGGGTTTATAACTTTTTTTTTCTAAATCTAAAATGATAAACTTTGTTCTGTCCAGTGCAAATATTTGCCATGTAGAAGAAGTCACAGCTAGGACAGGGACTGAGAGGTTGTGCAAACATGCAGTTTTTAGTTTATCATTTGATGATAACCACGTACAGGGATGTTGTCTTTGCATCTTTCCCTTTTTACTTTGAAGTTGATTTTTAATCTTAACATTCAAATAGAGACATCAATACATGGAAAACAGCTGGACCGGTGCACCTTACAACCTTACATTGAAAGGCCTGTGTAGTCTTTTCAATGTAATTTTTATAAATATAAAAGAGATCAGATGAATGTAAATAAACACATCAGTCTGTGTAAATCTTTTCATAAACTATTTTCTACATATAGTTTGTCATGTATGTACTGTACAAGGAGGTAGCCATATTCTCTTACTGTACACAGTGGCATAGTGGTTAGTACTTCTGCCTTGCAGCACTGGGGGTCCCCAGTTCAAATCCCAGTCAGGACACTATCTGCATAGAGTTTGCATGTTCTCCCTGTAATTTTGCGGGCTTCCTCTCATGCTCCAAAGACATGCTGGAAGGTTAATTGCCTCCTGTCTAAATTGTCCCTCGTATGTACGCATGTGAGATAGGGACCTAAGATTGTAAGCTCTTTGAGGGCAGGGTCTGATGTGAATGTGCACTATGTAAAGTGCTGTGTAAAAATAGTTGGCACTATATATATACAAATAATAAATACACACAGCATCTGCTACACAATGGTTGTGTTTTTACTGCTTCTTCACAATGCAAGTCATTACTTGATTACAAACAATGCACATAGGCAGGAAAGTGTCAAAGTCATAACAAAGTAACTGTAAGGCAAACAGTAGTAACTCAAAGTGCTCAAAGGATTTGTATATCTGTCCATTCAGTTCTGAGATTTAGACAGCCAGCTACACAGGCCTGTCTACAGTTCATTAACAATTACAAGCCTTGATCCTCCCATTTGGTGACTGGGAAGTAAAAGGAGAAGCAGAAGGGGATTATTCACAAAGCTGCCGAAGGCAGCCGAGTGAATAACCCAGCCGAAGTGAAGTGAGCCGAACGCTGTTTGGCTGTTCACTTCTGGCTTGTACGGCTGATTTCAGCCGTATACCGGCTGAAATCAGCCACACATCGGCTGCCTTTGGCTGCACTTCGGTCAGCCGAACATGCTCTACATCTGGATTGGCTGAGCCAAAGCTCGGGCAGCTCACTCACTGCCGTTTGCCCCAATTGTCATAGGGGCCAAACGGCAGTGAGTGAATAGCTCTGTGGTACCGAGGAGAATAGAAAATCAATTAAAATAGTTGGTGGGGAAAAAAAAGGTTGAAAGAGTTTAAAAATGTAAATAAATACTAAAATTTTAAAATAAATAAAGATTTAAAAAAAAATTATAATTAAAAAAAACAAAACAGTTGGGTGTGGGGG